AGTGGGAAGAACACAAATCTAGGGTGGTAGCATAAGGCAGCTTAACTGCCTAAAAATGGGCCCAAAATCCAAAATCTAAATACACATATTTAGATTCAGCATATTGAAATCAATCAATGTTGAATTTTGCACCCTAATTTGGACACACATGAAAACACGGCCCAAAAATCTAAATTCTAAATACACAGTAAGATTATGCATATTAAAGAACTCCAATACATTGTATTTCAAGATTGTTTAAACCCCATTGAAATTGATCACGGCCGACACTCGGATAACCGAGAGATTGGTCGGTTAATCTATATTGAGTATGCGGCTGTATGGGCGGTTGGTCTGTTAATCGGGTCGGTTATACGTCTGTTAAGAGTAAAACGCACAATTTAAATGTTCAACTCTGTTAAATATACAGATTTTTGGCATATTATAAGAACCAAATAAAAAAATTCGTAAGGGTTCCGCGGAACCCAGTGTCTCGCCTACTTTTGCTGTTAATCGCAGGCTCAACAAAAATGAGATGAGGAATAAATTTAATAAAAATATTCCTCTCGATAAAATTTTTTTATTGTAAGAAGCTTCTGTCCAAGTTTGGTAAAAATCCAGGATAGTTTATGAATCTAATAAATGTTTTAAAAAATTTAACTGCAGACTGTATGTAATGTTAACTGGAAGAAAAACTAAGTCCATTTATAAGTAAAATATGGATAAACAAGTACAAAATTTTAATAAAAATTTCCTTCTAGATACTAGCTTTTGATCATAAACAAGCTTCTGTCCAAGTTTGGTACAAATCCAAGATAGTTTAAGAAAGTTATTAAAATTTCAAAAACTTCAACCACAGAGTGAATATTTGTGGACGCCGCCGACGACGCCGACGGAATGTAGGATCGCTATGTCTCGCTTTTTCGACTAAAGTCGAAGGCTCGACAAAAAAGAAAAGTGTCTGACAAAATGATATCTATCATAGAACATTTTCCACCTGTAAAAACATTTCATAGTCTGCGCAAACTTCAGTAAAACTAAAAGGCGTCGCGCAAGTATGTGGTATTTATGCTTATACGCATAGCAATTGTTTTAATAAAAGGCGAAACAAACAATTTTAGATATCATTTAAAGGACACAAAATAGTACTTTGGTTCTAAAACATAAATTGACATTAGTAAATATTTCATAATTGTAATATAACGTGAGTAATACCACGTTTTAGTGACTATTAGGGGAATAAAGTCTGTTAATGGGTTGGACAATTAAAATTGTGTCAGTTAAGAGTTATTTAGCCACGACAATAGTTTTGCTACCTTTATAATATCCCATTAAAAAAGTTAAGAATGAGATATACTTGAGTAAAAAAAAAATGACAATACGATGCAACAGTATCCTTGTAGTAAGAGCATTTTTATTTTGACTTTCTTTGCATTTTATTGAAAGGTGTATCACTGCAATATAGCGTGATATGGATTGGCCGCTGGAATATGCATGAATTTATTATTAACGTTTTCAATCAGCCTTGATTTTTGTGTCTGTTCAAAGAAGCACGTTCAAAAATCCGACTGAAAGTGTCTGTCTTGTACAACACCGGGTACATATAACGTGTTGTCGTTCTCATATGAACATGATATTTGCCACTGGACGTTAAACCCTAATTCGTCAGCATCATCCAATTGGTTCTTTTGTTCTATTACTTAATCATATGTTGTTTACAAAACATTCTAAAGAAGTAAATGGAAAGAAACGAATGCAGCTACATTTGATTATCTTAAGTTTTAATTCATTTTATTCCGTTTAGTTCCTTTCTACATAAGTGCAGAGGAGAACTCTAGCATTTGTCACCAATTTGAGTACATTGCAATCCGTTACTGTTTCAACCACCCCCTCCCCCTGAAATTTTGTTTTGTTTGCACTTTACAATATTTACTGAGCTATCAGATTCAGCGGTTGACAGGAGGCCAATGTTTATCGGACTCCAGTCTCAAATAACATAAAGTGATATACAGTAAAAAAATTGCAAAGCATCTATATAGATATCGTTGTCTATACTGTTAATTTAAAAATAAGGAGATGTGGAATAAATGCAAAAATTGTTTTAACAGTCATCTTGGAGGGTCTAAATAGTAAAAAGGGGTGTTTTATGTCTGTATTCTTAAACAATTGTTATTTTTCTCTCTTTTTTAGCAATGCATCACTCTCTACTGTCCTTATCTATTATTCTATATTCTGCGTCTCCATCCAGATTCTCGTGTATACCATGAGAGTCCGGATTGGGGTGTTGTTTATTTCTGTATTTTTTAAATTGTTATGTCACTGTTCTCTACATTTTATTTATTTTTCTCATTATTCTTTCTCTATTCTTTATATATATTTTAGCATCCCAATATATTTTACTTACTGATGTTTAGTTACATTTCGACGTTTATCTCTGATATAAAAAAGCAGATGTGGTATGATTGCCAATGAGACAACTCTCCACAAGAGACCAAAATGACACAGAAATTAACAACTATAGGTCACCGTACGGCCTTCAACAACGAGCAAAGCCCATACCACATAGTCAGCTATAAAAGGCCCCGAAATGACAATGTAAAAAATTCAAACGAGAAAACTAACGGACTTATTTATATATATAAAAAAATGAACGAAAAACAAATATGTAACACATAAACAAACGACAACCACTGATTTACAGGCTTCTCACTTGGGACAGGCACATACATACATAATGTGGCGGGGTTAATCATGTTAGCGGGATCCCAACCCTCCCCTAACCTGGGACAGTGGTATAACAGTACAACATAAGAACGAACTATAAAAATGATGTATATACTGGTTACCAATGTACATGTAGATGACAAATTGGTGTCATTCATAACAACGAAACAGAATTCACATGATATATGGGACCATTATTGAATGAAATTAATATTACTTTAATATTACACTTTTTGAAACCATTTTTATTAATTTTCAATTTCCATTGTCTAAATTTATGTTTCATTGTTCATGTGTTGTTTCCGTATATTTTAGCCACTCGTCTTGAGCCTACCCATTTGATCCGATAACTCCCCATAAGGCAATCAAATTATATTTTCATTGCCATTCATAACTCTTAACAGACCAAATAACAGACCGGGTTTTATACATCCGACCCATTAACAGACCAGGTTTTTAATAAAAATTGATTAATATCACCAAAATACAGATTTTCGTGTAGATTTTTCACACAATGATATTAATATGGTTAACAAACATAATGCCTGTCTTTTTTCGATGTTCAAAATATTGCATGCAAGTAAATTCAGCCAAGTTGTCATTTTGTGTACATTTTGTGTGTGTAAAATGTGTATAAATTTATTAATGAGTAACCCGCCTTTTCATTTTATTGATTGTTTATCGAAACTAGAAAAGAAAATAATTACACCACTGGATTCAGTACATTGAATTGTTTTGTCAGACATGAATAATTTTTATGATAAAAAATATATTTAAAAAGTTATACAATGAAACATACTGAACTTGCAAGTATTTTCTCGATAACACCTGATTAACAGACTTTAGCCAACCCAATTAACAGACCAACCGCCGATATAGCCGCATACTCAATATAGATTAACCGACCAATCTCTCGGTTAGCCGAGTGACGGCCGTGTTGATCAGAAATAAGCAATACAGTTTTAAAAATTGATTGTTTTTTCTCTCCTTTTTGGCCCCTAATTCCTAAGCGGATAAGGCCATAACACCAAAAATCAATCCAACCTTCCTTTTGCGGTATGGAACCTTGTGGAACGATTTCATACAAATCAATACACCTATACTCAAGTTATTTTCAGGAAACTAGAAAGATGTAAACGATTTAACTCAATATTCTTCTTGTGGTAAAATTTCATAGAGATCCATACACTTGTACTTAAGTTCTTGTCTGGAAACCAAATGTCTTCAGGCGACGACGACATCGCCATTGGCATACCATTATACGGCTGCAAATTTTTGCGGTCATTTAAAAATTATTGAACACAACAACTTTAAAAAGGGTGCTAACGGACCAGGATTTGGAAAGACCCTTGCTCTAAATGTCATGATAAATGCATTTCCATGGACAAATCATCACTTAAAACGCAGATTATTATTATGTTCCTATGTAAATGATATTATTTACACCTATATTTCATTGAATTGGATATCCTGGTTTTCTATAATAAAATAAATTGCTTCGCCGAGCGCAGCTGGATACGACCGCAGAGGTCCAACCCTGAACAGGGTAAAAATCAAACGGACAGCTCATTTAGCCATTACTTAAACCTCATTAAAATTGGTCAAAAATAAGCAATTCAAGCAAAGTTATAAAAATTGCGTTTTTTTCCCCCTTTATGGCCCCTTATTTAGTTTGTACTTCCAGTTGATCGATTGTACTATCTTGTTACTTTGTCATTCTGTGTTGTGGCATACAAATAAAAGCATGTACAAGGTAAAAATCAAACGGACTGCTCTCTAGATTCCTTCTTGAAATATTTCAACTTTGTTAAAAATTACAAAACTTAAATCTGCAGAAAAAACAAATGCAGAATTTTGCCCCGATATCGCAAAAATGTTGTTCTGAAAAGATTCTTAACTGTCAACCAACTCATGATGGTATCTTCAACATTTTCATAGGAACGGCTCCAACTTTACTACTTGGAAACCTTGGTTTAATATGGTCCTTGTAAGCAGCAACCCTCTATTTAGGAGATCATGAGAGGAATCAAGTGAATATCGTTTAAACTAGGAGATATATACTCAATATGCGGGTGCTGCTGGAATATTGCGTTTGGAAATGGAATGTTCAGTCAGCAATGTTGAAATCTTGAAAAAAGTTTCAAGTGTATTTTGAAGTCTCCTCAGAGACAAAACATATAAAGATAGATGATGTTCAAATATCAAGTCATGTATATTCAAATTGATATTTTTTTAACGACATCCAAATCAGTTTTTCTTATTACCAAATACAATGCCATTCAACTTTTAACAACAGGTATTATGTGATTTTTATTCTTAAAGCAGACAAAAAACATAAGCATAAAGAGTAAAAGAGAGAATTTACACAGTATCCTCCACTCTTCAAAAATTATCCAATCAAATAGTCTACTTCTTAATACAAACATGAAAAATATTCTTTTCTTGTAAAATGCAATTCCTAGTTTTATATTATTTTTCTTTGTTTAACATTAATTCAAACATCTTGCAATAATTTTATAATTGAGCAACATTTCTTTTGTAATAACAAGAGTGCACAATCTAAAATGTCTCGCCTGCTTAACATATGAATTTATGTTGATAGTCTGTAATATGAAGGTTTTACTACAAGTATTGTATAAACTTATTATTATCAATGTTCTTTGAAAATGAGGTCACAGTCAGATGAATAATGCCAGACAGACATGTACACCTGACAATCATTCCATACACCAAATATATAGGTCATATCGCTTATAGTACCCGAGAAACGGTTTAAACCACAAAATCTTAACATTGACCAATGAACCATGAAAATGAGCAAAGGTAATATGAACCCTGACAGACAGACATGTACACCTAACAATCATGCCATACACCAAATATAGTTTAAGTATTGCTGGTAGTATCTGATTAACTGACAAATTCACGAAAACTTATCACTGACCAATTAACCCTGAATAAAGACAATGTCATATGACACCTGCCATACAGACATGTACACCTTTCAATCATTCCAGACACCAAATATAGTTGACCATGTAACTTTAACAGTAATCACTGATCCATGAAATGATGTCGATGTCAGGTGAACCCTTACTGACTGATATGAAGCCATTGCAAGGAACCCATATATAAAAATATTTATCCTATTACTCACAATAAGTTAGTATTTCACTCGACAAATAAAAACTGTAATTTTTGTTCCAGCATTCACTAAATCATGAAAATAAGGTAAAGGACAATGGATATATGACAGAAGGAAACTTTTTTAGATAAATGTATCTGCACACAAAGTATGAATCATCCAGGTCTTCTACTTTCTGAAAAGTAAAGCTTTATACAAATATTTTATGCCATCACCATCGCTGGATTGTAATCCCTGTGTCTTGCATTTTGTGACTTTTGTAGTAGACAAGACAATAGAAAAATCCAATTTTTAAATTTTGATATCATTATTTGCATATACTGTATAGCATTTCCGAATATGGTGATAATAAATCTAGTTTTTTTCCAGTTTTCAACAATCACATTAATAAATTCACACAAAAATGTTTGACAATACTGGTTTTGTAGACTGTTGTTTGTCTTTTAGTATTTTTTTGACATTGAATTGTCAGTTTTTCTGTGACTTATGAATGTCACTTTGGTATCTACCATCTGATTTAAATAGTACTTTAATTAAACAATTCCTGCACATAAATTCCAAATTAAAGGTTATTTATACAAAAACCTTCCAAGAAATTTTCTTAACATGATTTTTACCTGTTTGATTGTTTGTTGGGTACTTTTAAATAATAGATTGATCAATATTATATCTAAGTCATGACTGATTTGTGTTAAGATTCTTAACAGTGATTCATAATGAATCACTGAAATACATATAATAGTAAAAAAATAACTTAAAGGGGCATTAGCTGTCAAAATCATGTTTACCGATTTGACTCAAATTCTTATATTTGATTTATAACATACTTAAATGTATTCAAAATTTAAAAAAGTCCAAACACAAACAGTTAACAATGCATGGCCTCAATATGTGTATCAACATTTTGTGTGTATTTTTGTATAGACGTCATCTAATTAACCGTCAAGATGATCGAGATGTCCTCCGAAGACTGCTGACGGTCATATAACCCAATATAAACATAAAAATAAATAGATAGTGACCACATGCAATTCTATGTTTCTAAGTCTGTTTGATTCAATATTGTAGGTTTAAAAGTATGTTTATCATTGTTTTTACCTGTATAAGAATGATTTTTTGTGGATCGAATCAGTCAACCATGTGATTCATCCTTGTTTCACTTTCAATGTTGACATTCTTTTCCTTTTCATAGCTAAATACATGCGTAACCCATGTCCAGCTAAGGGGTTAAATTGAAGGTCACATGAATATGTATTCAATGAGGTCAAATTATTAACTTGCAAGTGAATAATTCATCAGCGATGTTTCTTTGCATATTTGACAAATTTGCACAAAATTGCCTGCTAAAAGCGAATTAATATTTCACTATTTCACTTTCATTAATGAATGAAAAAAAATTTCATATTTTAATTTTTTTTATATCTCGTAGCTAATGCCCCTTTTATAGACTCCATAATAACAATTCATGTGAAACACTATGCTTTACTTAATTATTTGAATATCTGTCTAAAGAAAATAAATCATCTGCAAATTCAAATAAAAGGTGTTTAATTAAAAATTTTACATTAATATATTTTTTAATATTATATCTGATAAAACTAGTCTAAAAACAACATTGCATTTATATGCTAAGCACTGGTTTATAATAACATGTTTTATACATCTATGAGTACCAAAAAATGATTACTGAATATAAACAGGTATAATCTAAAAAACACCTGTAACGATTTAAAAAGTAAAATAACAAAAATACCGAAATTCCAAGGAAAATTCAAAACAGAAAGTCTTTTATAAAATGGCAAAATCAAAAGCTTAATGACTGATAAAAATCTTCCTGATTAAGGTAATGTCCTTGTTTCTTTGAAATAATTAATAGCTAAATATTTGGTAATGATACGATCCCAAAATATCTTACATATGTTAGTACTTTCAAAAAGGAAGTGTTGTAGATGACTAGAGTAATCTAGAGTAATAGTGATGTATTTCAATAACTAAATACCAGAAGGTCAGGTCCAGGGATTTTACTATAATTTGGATTGAATATTAAGGGGGAATATGGAGAAAAAAAATGTAAAATCTAAATACTTGTGCAATTATACAAAGAATACATATAGTTCAATCAAAACTATTCATTCTCACAGAACCTTAATTTTGATCTCTATGAAAAGTACACTCATTGCTTTTGCCATTTTGACTATCCTAAAAAATTACCAATGTATGCAAGAACTTCCAAAAAAAGTTATATGTTATTATTTTAACACTGACTTTTTAACCAAATCTTAGGTTTTAAATTGATGTAAGTATAATGTGTACGTATAAAACTACCTAATTGTTACATGGATTAAATATTTTTTCTAAAAAAATTTACATCTAATATTATGACATTTTATTTACATATTCTATTTCATTTCTTATTAACTATATTCCTGATCATAAAATGTTAATTCAGAACTTTTTTCATGCATTTATTTTGTTTATTGTAGTAAATCATTGAAGATTATCCAAAATACAGTATTTATTACATTTGAAAATGATTTAGAATAATGTTATCATACAAAATCAAATTTAACAAGTTACTAATCCTTTTTTTTTGCTTGATGAAAAACATTGCAATACAAAATCCTCTTAAAGTATAGATATCCAATCTGATATACTGATACACTTGAATCATAAAACTGTTAACAAAAACTTCAAAAATCAAATCCATAAAAATATTAAATTCTTTAAAACTATGAAATGAAATATATGACCGATGTATAAAATGAATGGTAAATGGTAAAATTTATTTACATTTGTTATGGCTGCTTTACAAAAATAAGGTGAAGACTAGGAGTGATCAACAGAAACTTCAAAACAATGAATTTGCCAATTTTATTGGTGTAGAACTAAAAACATGGATAATGAACAAATTTAAACATAACTGAATCTGTATTACAAATGTTTTGTAAATTAAATTACTATAAACACAAGAAAACAGCAAACAATTCCTTTAATAAATACAGAAGTGGCAAAATTTTGGTATTGATTTAATGTCAAATTTCAAAAAATGTATTCAAATAAACTTTTTTATAATTCAATATCATTCTGACCAAGTCAATTAATTTTTTTTAGAATTTAAAATGCTAAGAGAAGTTACTTATCTGTGTGATCAGCACAGATAATCCCAGATGATTTATTGGTAAAAAATGTTCCCATAGTACAAATATAGATAGTTTCCAAGCAGAGATATTTTCTAGCTTTTCAATTTCTTACTCAATTTTAGATAAAGTAAATAAAATATAATAAAAGATGGATACCCCTCATCCATATTGCTGCTAAGCGTTTGCCTTTAACTCACAATCTTTTAAACTCCAAAAAAAATCTACAAACTTGAACATAGAGTCAAGTCCATATCTTCATTATATACTCATACATTCTAAAAAAGTTTGAATAATCTGAGTTAAATTGATAACACAAAAAAGATATATTTTCCATGAACATCCAACTTTCACAATACTTTAAGAAAGATTTTTATTTCAGGCAAACCCCTTCCCAAAATTATTCTTTCAGTATGTAATAAAAATTTATTAAAGTAGATAGGGGGTCTATATGAAAAATAATAGAATTTTTTAATACTTTGCCAAAATATAATTTATATCATGCTTTTTTTCAAAACTATAATAAAAGGTATGAGTCATAGAACTTTTTTCAACTTACAGGTTGTGCAAAATTGTCAGATGTGTTTAGATTATTCATGGAAAATTCAATTTTGTGTAAATAGAAGGAAAACTGAATGATAGAATTTCAAAATAAAATATGATAAGTAAGCTCTTATAAGGAAATAAAAAAAAATTGTGTAACAGAATTCTTTTTCTTGCTTCAAAACAAAATAGGTAAATTAACTATACATTCCTTTATAAAAATAAGTTATCTCCCCTTATATGGCTGAGTTGAAAAAATTTAATCAAACAAGAACAAAATCGAAAATAGAATTGAAAGTTCTTATAATAAGATAAACATTAGAATATTCTGAAATATAACTATTAAAAAAATACTGATAAAAATTTACAGGTATTGAAAAAAATACAAAATATCCTTACCATTTTACATTTTATAAAAAAACATCATCCAATTGCTTAAATTTCGAGATTCGTGGGTGTTTTGACCACTGTTTCTAATTTTTAACTTCAGATAAATAGAAATTACAATCCTCTCATTGTCAAATACTTTTTTCTGTTATTGTGGATGATGGCTAGATGAATGGCTGTAACATCCAGTGGCAAATGAATTGTATATTCAGGACAAGAATATGATAATGTGATATGAATCTTGCTTTGTACTATCCTATGTCATAGGATAACATTTAATGTGCATGGCCTTTATTTTCTTATAAAAAAAGACTATCATTTCTTAAAAGGTTGACGATTTAAGGTAGATTGGGGGTCTAAATTAATATCCATAGAATTTTTTAATAATTTGTCAAGTAGTTTATAACATGCTTTTTTTCAAAAATATAAAAAGTATGGTCACCAGACTTTTTTCACGCAACAGGTTGTGCAAATTTGTCAGATTTTGTATAGATTATGCATGGAAAACCCAATTTTGTGTGATTAAAATGAAAACTACACCATAGAATTTAAAGATAAACTATGAGAAGATAGCTCTAATAATATGCTTTCAGATAAGAAAAAGAAACTAAAGAGCCTGTGTCGCACACCTTGGTTTATGTGGCACACACAGTGCATATTTAATAAAGGACACTCTCCAATATTGTAGACAAGAATAGAATTCATGACAAAAATCTCTGTTTTGTTGATCTTGTTTTACTGATCATTTAGTCTGTTTAATTTCTCTCTATCTTTTTTAGTTTTTGCTCAAAACACACAAGAGGGTAAAAAAGAATCCTCATTTAAGGGCAATCAATCCTATAAAGAGTGACAGTCTACTAACTATATCAGCAAAATTTGATTTTATAGTAGATCTTGCCTTGCTGTTTATTTTTGTAATTTAAAGTGTCTATTTATCTATTATATTTTTTATCATAGATGGCAAAACGCAAAAAAAATGGTAAAAATCGTCATTAAAGGGCAATAACTCCAATAAGGAGCCGTCAGACCATTTACTCCATATTGTCAATATTGTAGATCGAGTCTTGCTTATTGAAGATTCTATCTATCTATTATAATTTTCAAGATATAAGGCAAAAACGCAGAAAATTGGTAAATATCGTCATTAAAGGGCAATAACTTTAGTAAGGAGTCGACTGACAATTTCGATTATGAGACTTATTTGTAGAACTTGTCTTCCTGATCATTTTTGCAATCAAAGTTTCTCTCTATCTATCATAATTTTCAAGATAATAGGCAAAAATGAAAAAAAAAAAAGGTTAAATTTATCATTTAAGGGCAATAACTCATATAAGAAGTCGTATGAACAATTGGTAGAGCTTAACATTCTGAACATTTTTGCCCTGTCAGATTTTCTCTATTTATAACGGTTTTCAAAATAATAGACAGAACTAGCATTTTACCCCTATGTTCTATTTTAAGCCATGTCTGCCATCTTGGTTGGCAAGCGGGATCATCGGACACATTTTTTTAACTAGATACCCAAATAATGATTGTGGCCAAGTTTTGTTAAATTTGGCCCAGTAGTTTCAGAGGAGAAGATTTTGGACGACGACGAAAATAGACAACAGACGCCAAGTGATGAGAAAAGCTCACTTGGCCCATTGGGTTCCCAGACTCATTTTCTTCCTACATAATAAGATAGGTAAATTCACATCACATTTTATTATAAAAGTTACTTTACCTGAGTTATCTCCACTTATGTGGCAAAGTTGAAAAAAAAGAATCAAATAAAAATATTTCTTTTTTTAAATACAGCCGTAACATATGAATCAACACATATTTTACTATATTAACATGAAAGGTATTCCACATGAATTACACACTACTCGTGAAATTTGCACATTTCATTACAGATCTAGACTGATTGTTATCTGCTATTTCAAAATCCAAGATGGAAGAAGACACCCCAGCTACCTTAATGTGGAGATTTACTTGTTTCTTGTAAGGCAGTGCTTTATGAAATTATGTACAGTTCATGATATACGTTTATTTAGCCCTAGATATCTAAATAATGAACTTATAAACATAATGTTTAATATATAAAAACAAAAATAAATTGGCACATCAAGTATTTGTCAAAGCCATACAAAAATAATACTAATCATAATGAACTGAAGGTGAAAAAACACAGTAAAGGCCTACTTATATTTTTGTTCTCTTCTTTCTCTACTTTCACTTGTATAAAAACTATTACACACTTGACAGGGTACCATTAATAAACACGGAAGGCCAGAAGAAAAAAAAAATCAGACAGTTCACATCTTTTATTCCGGCTGAACAAATACATTATTCTGAAATATAAATAAATATATCTGGGTAGTAGCATTTTCCTGGAATTAAATGGCCCTTTAGGCTAGGTGAGCTTAAAAATGAATTAAGAGAGAATTTCATTTCCTATTTCTAATCTCCCCAAATTTTGATCAAACATGAAAAGCATAAGTTTAAATACATATTGTTTCAGTTTCTTTTTATAAATATCTGAAGAATGTCAAAAGAATAAACAATTTATGACCTAGAAAATGTTGTAAGTGAACAAAAATAACCAGAGGAAGATTGATTGGTGATTGCTTTATGGTGCATCAGCACAGAAAAGGGCTATATTGCTGTGATACCAGAGGAAGAAGAAATCATACTAAAACAATATGTCTTCCTTTCTTAAAGGGGAGAAAAGGCTATTTTTTGTCCCCTTGTAAAATAAAAACAATAGACATAAATTTTCAGAGAAAGTCAGACATTTTGTGTAAATTATTTGGGCCCTTTCAAACTTATTTCTGTGAATGCATCATCAATCTATTGTCAAACAACTGCTTTTGTATGAGGCTAGTAACATTGTATCAAAATTGTTTCATCATTGCTTAACAAGTCAAACGCTGAACATCAATGATGTCTACCCATTCAAACATATATTCTAAAATATCAATTAATTAAAATAATAGTGTCACAGTTAGATATAAAACCCTGTCAGCAAGTATAAAGTCTTATTCACTTAATCTATGCTAACTTTTTACATTATTATGCTCTCTTAAATTATAAAACAGCATATCTTTAAATCACACACACACATTTATGTAAACATTGTTAATATTACTACACTATAAAAACAACAACAAACACCTTATATGAACATTTGAAATTTAAACAGTTTCATGTTTAAGGCCACAAGATCAACTACAATTGCACATCAAATATGCCAAGCACTTTAAAAGCAAGTTTTTTTTCACACTTAATAGATAGCCTGGTTAACACAATTTACAAAATTGCTCTCCCTACACAAGAATAACTGCAGCATGTATATATCTTCTTCAAACTTTAAAATCTTTGTAGGGAAAAATAATATTGAATCTTCCATTTTTAAAACCAGGAATATTTTTTTTTTCTGGATTAAAATTGTTCCAATTAATGTTTTACATTCTAATAATCATAAAACTTGAAAATTTGAATTTATTTAGAAGTGTTTAAAACTTGGCCGTGTATATTCCAAATAGTTCATTTAGTAAATAAAATTGAAGGAAACCTGAATGTTACAAAGTTACTGAGAGATTATAATGTTGTATAAGGCTTTACAACTGTCTTTCTTGAAGAAGCCTACAAACAGATACTTTTTGATCATCTCAGTTAAATTTATTAACCAATTTATTTTTAGATTTTGGTAATTAAGAACTTAATATTTTTACTTGTCTATTATTTTAGACCATATACCTCTACATGACTTTTGCTTTTTTCTGTCATGAGGTTGATGTCTCTTTTAATCATATAAAAGATGCAGTATAACTTTCCCACTCTTGTCTTTTTTAAGACGGAAGCTGCAATTGTACCCTTTCTAAAACAGTCTCAATTTCATCTTTCTACAAACATAACAAATTAAACTAAAAAGGCCAAATATAAGATACTATATCTTACACTGTTACAGTTCTGTACAGAATAACTACTCATAACTATTGAGCTGCGGATCAAATATGAAGTCATTATGTTTAGTAGTATTGGAGAAACGTTTCCCAACTTTTTTAAATTCATTCAATATATAGAAATATTTTGAGTATTTGCAAACAGGTAGTAGGTATCTTAAATCCTTCTTTACAACTCATCACGGTTAAGCTTCTAAACAGTTATGGAAACATTCTGTATAGTAGTTTTAAGTGCGATGAAAAGATTTGATGGACAAACAGACTGATTGCAATATAGCCCCCACTACTATAGTGGTGGTATAATAAAATGAAGAACAATTAATTTACAAGTTTTCATAACAATGATCTGGCCAATACATTTAATTGTAAATGTTCTCAGTGTTCTCCCAAGAAATTGCAAATAGAATCCAGACATAGTGCCAAATAACAAAATAGTAATTTTTGCAGTAAACATCAGGGTAAGCCAAATTTTAAAATAAATCTAAGATAAAAATGTTTCTCAAAGAATCTTTAAAAATGCTCTTTGGAGAACACTGATACGACACATATTTCACCTTTGTTTCTTGGGTATCATTAACATCTAGTTCAAATGTCTAACTATAGATCATATAGATAATATTACTGAGATTATTTTTTAGGCAATTTATTTTAGCACATTAATTGTAAAATTAAGACAGAATGGGATGTAGAATATTTCAAATAATACCAAATATACCGTAACACCTCTAATTTGTTATTTTACAACTTTCAAAATCTGTTTTCGATACTTTAGGAGAATTTTGATAATTATATTAAAAAAGCTGGGCTATAATAAATATAAAGTTGTCTATCTGTTGTGAATGCAGTCAATGTCCATATCATCATTTCAGGTCCGATATTTTCAATATTTTCTTTACTTCTGCCTCTTCAACATATTTATCATATAATCCATACCCAAATAGGCATGGGTCTATTTAGTTTTACATTATATCCCAGCTTCTTTGTTTCATTGTGAAGATATATCATCTTTTATTTCTAAATACACCATAGATGGAACTAGAAGTATGACTGCCTCTTGTAAAGATGTTTTCCGAAAACTTGTTCTTTCATTTCTAGGTTTTTAATTTGTTGCTGTTGCAGAGTACCCTTTTTTACCTGAAAATAGCAAATAATATTTTATGCATACAAGTACAGATGTATTCACATGTGTTTAAAATCATTAATGTTTCCTACTTACATTTAATTCATGCATACTGGATATACAAACTTTTCAAGGATACCAGGCTTATAATTTGTTACGGCAGACACACAAGGATACCAGGCATATAGTTTGTTACGGCAGACACACATTTCTTCTTTATTAGACTATGTAGTAATCAATGACATTAAATTCTAACAATTAAAAGTTAGTATGTTGGATATTTGAAATAGTTTTTGTTGTAATCCAATTGGCAGTAACTGTTGTAACCAGGTCAGATTTTCTATGTCAATTTCCTAAATAAACAACACTTTATGAGCAATGAATGATGACATAACTTTACAATCCTAGATGATTCTCTACAGCATTCTTTCAGCATCAGAATTGTTCTGGAATACTTTTCAGGGTGTGTTCATTCTTTGAATTTCGTTCACCTTAAGATTTGTATTGAATTATTTTTTTTAATATTTACAGCGAACTTGGGACACTATGAATATTTAAAATAAATATCATATTACGGTCATTTATTTTGTTTACTCTGGATATTGAATAAGCAATCATAATTTTGTTTTATCATGCACCTTGCAAGACTTTTACTGTCATTGATTTACTGCCCATTTCCTGCTTAAATAAGTTTTATCCCCACAAAATGTCTTTAATATACACAATGTCGCCAAAGGAGTATGGCCACGAAGTGCCGATATTGGCCCTGTGAGGTGACAAAAAATAAAAGAGAAATAAGGTGGATCCTTTATAGCTAAAACATATCTACGTATATCGTTATTTGTTATTATAGTAAAAAATCATATTTTTGTGACGTCATTAATGTGACGTAATACCCGGAAACAAACCGGAACGCTCAAAATGTCCAAATTCTTAAAGAATTTCACACTTCCTGGTTAAATTTCGCATTGGCCACAGGCCTCGACCAAAGTAATTTTACTCTTATTTTGATTGTTTGACACCTTGACTCAGTTTGCAACAATATTTAGCGTGGTCGAGGCCTGTGGCCACATCGAAAATTTAACTTTTGCCGACGAGCAAATCCTGATTCAATGCCGCCATTTCCGAGGTACACTGGATTCTGTGACAAAATAACTGTACCAAGAACTTGTACAGTTGCTATAAATAGAATAAATTCTATAATTTATTATTTCTTATTTAAAAAAAAAACGAAAAAAAAAGCAAATGGAATAACACGTCTTTGTTTTTAGCGAAGCTTCGTCAACCGCCGATCCGGCGAGGTTTTTAAACACGGATAGATACGTCCTCATAACTGTTTTTATTAGAAAACAAGACAAATTGGTGGAAATAAAAATTATGAATTTGCAAATTATTTTAACGTTCATTTCCACGTTATTTTGTAATTATTAGCCCAGTCTGTGCCGCTATGCAAACAAAAATATGACAGTTATAAATTAGAGCCGTAGTTTTTTTTTCTCGTAAAATTCTAGATCCAGCAGATCGATATGGGTGTCAACATAAAAATTTAATACAAATTTCCTTTTAGATACACGTATTTTGTTTTTTAAAGACGAAATCGTCGAAATGTAACCTCCGCAAAATGTAATCTCATGTTGACGCTTTGATGAAGTGCTTTCTTTCACGTTCGCATTTTCTATCATGTATGGCATGCCAAGTTAAATTTTTTTAAAATAATTACTACGGATGGTGTAAATAAATTACAGAACTATGAACAATAATATACATAGAAAATTGTAGGACATAAGAATAAACCACGTGAGAATTTTGATATCATATTGCACAGTGGTTAAATAAGCTTTTCAATATTTCTTTAATTAAAATAAAAATTCCGACGCCATGAGAGGGCATGGTGTATACTGTCCGTGACATTCAACCAGAACAAATATTTGTTTTCAATGAAAACTGAAATAAAGATGAAACAAAACTATCCGACACAATCATAAAGCTTGGGTAACTTCAAATAAATATCTGATATTCACGCGGGAAAGCATGCATAATTGCTCAGAATGCATAAAATGAGCAATTGTTTATTTGGTCCCTTTGTGGTGGTCCCTTTTAAATTTGAGTGAGACTATGTTACAAGCGACCAACAAAAATGGCTGCTTACTATGAATAAATTATCTATGAGATAGAATCATGTGCAAAACAGTGTAGCCGAGACCATTGATTGGCGCGCTAAAATATCCCATTGACTGGGTCAGATTAGGTGAACGCCCACAACTCACGACGTATTTATTATAGACATTTAAACTGTGGGGTCACCAAAGGGTCTCAACGCCTAAATAAAATAATTCGAAATACTAATCAGGAATAACCTTTGTGTTTTGATTTATATTGAATACTTAAACGTTCTTTACTTGTGTTTTTGTTATGTTTTGATAATGAATTTTTATGATATCGGACGTTCTTTCAGCAAAAAGGATTTAACTGGCTTTAAAAGTTACAATGGATGTGTTGATTATTATCTTTTTTTCGGACGTCAAAGCGATTTAACAATTGCGGTTGTCCAATTGTGTCATCTTTTAACTTTTATCTGGTCAAAATTTTATTTTAGAACGAATGCATGATCAACTTTAAAAAGTGTGCAAACACAAAACATATAGACAAAATATACTTCTTTCCTGTCTTTTTCGTACTTGCAAGTTATTAGACAGTAAAAAGGCTATTTGGATCAAGCCTTGTGAAATTTGCATTTACGTTTTTGAATAGGTACAGTCAAGTTTAGCGATTGATAATTCATTGATAACATTCTGGCGTATCACAACCAAACAACTTGTAACGTCTCATTTCATTGGCCGAAAGATTTAAAAACAACAACAATTGTAGTGTGCACGTGAATTGACACAGGTGACCGACAATGGAATGTACTACGTTACTACGAACGTAAAAAACAATGATTTTTGGTCGAAATAATTAAATAAGTATTTTGTGAATTTCAAATAGTGGGGTCGAAATATTATACTAATAATTTGTGTTAAGTAATATTCTTTATGCATGCAGCACTTGTACCGCACTATGAAAAATATAAGGATAAAATAAAATACATGTGCCGCTTTTATACGGATGAATGTATGAACCACTTTAATTTCTTTCATATTGACGCTAGGATATTATTCTGACAATGTCGTAGTTACTTATAATAAGGATCTCATAATACTGATCCATTTCAAATTGATGATGGGTTGCACATTCCTCTTTTATTGTTTCATGCTATAAAACGAAAATAAAGTAGCTAAGCGTTTGGTCATTCAGAAATGACGTGTCATAAACGAGCAAATTGTCCCCGAAAGATCGTATCATGTGTGCACGTGAATATAGATGTACTATGCAATGTACTATCATGGTCACCACGAAATTCAAATGAATTCAGTGAAGGCATGTTGGTGTAAAAAGGTTTGAAATGTTTCATCGGCGAAGATTTTATTTTTGCATGTGTGGAACTAAAAAAAAATAAATACTTGTAAGAAATGTCGTAGTTTATAAGGAACTATATAAATGTACTGTTTTCGATTTTAATTGGTTGAAAATTTATCCTTTAATTCCATACCGTAAGAATAGAGCTTTGCATAACATTGTTGAACTATCCGCCAAAGTAACGTGTGGCATGCGTGCGTATTAAAATGAAATACAAAATCATACATGTATGATAAACTTATAAACGAAATATTAAGAAATTAAGGATGACTACTGTAAAAGTATGTACAAAAATGGAGTCACCTTTTATCAATACATTTAGTGAATAACCACACTGTCTAAAACTGATTGTTTTCTATGCAACTATTTAAATATTTACAATATATAATTTTCAACCGAGGATAGCAAAACAGTTAATTATAAATTAAGAAAGTATATCGCTGGAGTTTATAAAGTACATTTCCTTCCACTGTGCCATGGTTTGCCATCTCCATTTTTTCTCTAAACAAAGCATGGCTGGTTACATCTTCTGAATTTACTTAGAATTTCGGGATTTTTTTTTCAAAATCAAGTTAACTAAATCAGAAAAAAAATCACACTATCCTAAAACTTATGAAAGAATATGAATAATGAACATAACAGTTTATAACACAAACCCATTTACTATAAAAATCGAGCAATATCTTTAGTATGTAATTTGGTTATTTTTGTAGTTAAGTACGGTTTCACTTCAAGTACAACGTTAATTCATCAAGTCCATTGAATAAAAGATAAGGCAGGGTGAGCAACTTGACAAAAAAAAAGGCAGGATGACGATTTATGTAAAAAAATCAGGATAAACTAATAAATATAGTCAGGACCTAACAGACTGAAAAATAGAAAGACAGGACAGAGATAACAACTAAAAAAATCAGGACAAAATGTTTCATCCAAGTCCCCCACCCCCAATCAAAATAAAATGGTAGCTCCCTTAATCCAGAACCAATTGAGAGGAGACAGTTGAATTAAATATTTCGACGTGACTGTTAAGATTAAAGTTTAAAATTTTACATGCACATGTATAAAAGCTAGAATTGCCATGGGATAATCAAGAACACAATCATGTACGTGAATACGACGATGGAAGTTTTTAACGACCTTGACCTGCTACGTGAATACTGATCAGTCCATTCAGCTTTATAGTTCGCGTGTTCTATTTTCACAGGTGTGAGGTCGAAGGTTTGAATTGACAAATGAAAATGATCGTTCCTTAACGAGTTAATCTAATAAAGTTTGTTTGACTGATTATGTTGCACGACCTTTCGCTAAGCTTGACCGCAGTTCAGTATACAATGTATAGTTTGATGATCTTTTCTGCTTACTACTATACTTGTGAAAAACCCTTGGCAACAGAAACATATTCAGCTTTTTTTTTAATCGACCCAATTTACATAGTAATGGACGACTTCGTACATTTTATGATCGCAAATAAAATATGTATATAATATACCGTGCACTGTAGTTCGTATATATATACTGAGACCCTTTGGCAACCCCACAGTTTAAATGTTTATAATAA